GAGCATGGATGCAATGGCTTCACTTGGGAGACCTAGTTCTGCCTATTTGTGTCCAACTCCAGTGCCTCAGGCTACAGAGTTATATATCTATCAAAGATGGGTTCCAGATCTCAGCTGATGGAAGAGATAATCTGACCCCTCACACCTTGACTGACATACTCAGGTTCCCTTGCCTGAGCCCAACTCAGATTCCTTACAGGTGCCCAGGATCAGCTCTATCTAGGCGAGCCTGGCCTTGGCAGTCCACATCCCATATCTGGCTTGGCTTTGCATGTCTCACAGACAGATCCAATGCTGCCAATCTCTGCTTAATGTCAGCACCAATGAGCTCACTGAGGAGCGTCAGACCTCATAAAATGGAACATCTCTGCATACCTGTGCTCTACAGACCCCAGCTGAGATCTGCAGTTCCACCAACTTGTGACTAACCCATTGCCCCCAGGCCTAAGATTGGGTCAGCACAACTGAGCCAGAATAATGCACCAATGATTTCATGTGCAAGACCCAAGGTATACGTCCCTCAAGCTCCAAAGTCCTTGCTTGAGAGAGATATATCTGCCTACTCACGTCTAATTTAGGGGCCACAGACCTCCTAGGAAACCCAGTGTTCTGCCTGCCTGTAGAGACTCCCATGCTATGGGCTTGACCTGCGAGGTCACTCTACCCACTTAGCCTCAACTCTGGTTCTTCAGGCTTCACCTCAAAGACCCAGCGGTACATTTTTGTGCCTAAATCCAACTCCTGAAAGAGCCAACTCTATCTACCTGCATTCAACTCTTAACTCCTCAGCTTTCCTTCAAAAGACTACTCCTGGAAGATCAGTTCTGCCTACCTGCCTGACTGTGGCTCCTCAGACAATACATGGTAGAACAGCTTTGCCTACCTGTGCTTGACACTGGCTCCTCAGACCACACCTGGAAGCACATCTCTGCCTACCTGTGCTTGACCCTGGGTACTCAGACTACACCTAGTGACCCAGACCACCTACCTGTGCTTGATCCTGGCTCTTCAGACCATACCTGGCAGCCAGCTCTACCTACCTGAGCCTGACCTTGGCTCCTCAGACCACACCTGGTAGGCCAACTTTGCCTACCTGTGCACACCCTGGCTCCTCAAACCACACCTGAAAGGCTATCTTGACCTACCTGAGCTTACCCCAGCTCCTCAAACCACATCCAGTAGGCCAGCTCTACCTAACTGTACTTGACCTTGGCGCCTTACACCACATCTGAAAGACTATCTCTAACTACTGTGTTTGACCCTGGCTCTTCAGAGTATACCTGGCATGCCAGCTCTACCTACCTGAGCCTGATGTTGGCTCTTCAGATCACACCTGGCGGGCCAGGTCTGCCCACCTGTGCTTAATGTTAGCTCCTGGGCTTGTACCTGGTGGACGAGCATCCCTACCTGCATGTGATGAGGGTTCCGGAGCACCTCAGCTGCTCATACCTCATCCAACACACTTGGTTCTTCTTACCTGGGCTTGACTATGACTTTTTAGGTCTCATGAACACATCCAGCTTTGTGAAGCTGCCCTGATCCTGGCTCCAAAGACCTTACCTGCCAAACCCTGCTCTAAACACCTATGTTTAACTCCCATTCTTCAAACCTGATATACCCAAAGATAAACCTGGCCCAGCCTCCACAGACCTCACCCAAGAAACTTAATTCTACATACCCGTGCCTGGCCACAGCTCCTCAACCTCACCCAGGAGATGAACTTCTACCTACTCATCTATTTTTTTTTGAGACGAAGTTTCATTCTTATTGCCCAAACTGGAGTGCAGTGCTGCAATCTAAGCTCACTGCAACCTCCGCCTCCTGGCCTCAAGCGATTCTCCTGCCTCCACCTCCTAAGTAGCTGGGATTACAGGTACATGCCACCAGGCTAATTTATTTTTTTAATAGAGACAGGGTTTCACCATGTTGGCCAGGCTGGTCTCAAACTTCTGACCTCAGATGATCTGCCCATCTCGGCCTTCCAAAGTGCTTGGATTACAGGCATGAGCTACCCCACCCGGCACTGCCCCCCACCTTTTATTTTTTTTGAGCTAGAGTCTTGCTCTGTCACCCAAGCTGGAATGCAGGGGCATGATCTTGGCTCATTCTGCCTCCCTGGTTCAAGCAAATCTAGTGCCCTAGCCTCCCAAGTAGCTAGGACTGTAGGCGTGTACCACCATGTCTGGCTAATTTTTGTATTTTTAGTAGAGACGGGGTTTTGCCATGCTGGCCAGGCTGGTCTCGGACTCCTGACCTCAAGTGATCTGACTTCCTCGGCATCCCAAAGTGCTGGAATTACAGGCACGAATCACCGCACCTGGCCTATACACCGTCTTGACACCACCTGGGAAATCCAGACCTGCTCACTGTGCCAGATCCCATTTCCTCAGATCTTCCTGAGAGACCTGGCTCTATCCACCTGCCTTTAATTCACATCCTCAAAGGTCGTCTACCACATCTAGGTCTTTCTAGATGAGCCTACCCTCGGCTCCTTGGGCCTCAACTGACAGATCCACTCTCTATACCTGTGCCTGACCTCAACTGCAGGATGGTTTAATTAGCTTTACCATGGCTGTTCCGGTCCACCTACCTCTGCGTGCCCCTGGTTTCATAGACGAAACCCAACAAATTCTACCCACCATGCTTGATGCAGCTTCTCAGACTTGGGGTACAAACCAGGGCCCAACCTCAGCAGCTCAGACCTTACCTGTGAGAGCCCAGTGTTGGCAAACACTATCTGACTAGCTCAGCCTCAGACGTCTGCCCTGCAGACCTGGTTCTCTGGACCTTTACACACCCTGACCACTCAGACCACACCTTCCAGCACATCTCCTCAAGGCCACCTGTGTTCCTCGCCTGCCCTAGCTCCCCTGTCCTCCCCTCGTAACACCAGGTATATTCCTACCTCTCCCTCATCTGGGCTTTGCAGACCCGGATGCCACAGACTTGGACTTCAGTCACGGATACTCTGATGCCCTGAGCTCTGCCCATCACACCCAGTCAGCACACTGAGAACCAGGTGCTGACCTGTGTGTGCCAAATCCTGAGTTCTAACTACCCCTGAGCAATCAGCGACCCACTACCTGATCCTCACTTTTCAGAATGGCCAGAGACCCCAGTGTGCATACCTGTCCCATGCCATAGGTCTACACTGCCTCCCAGAGCCCGGATAACATATGTACATGGCTTTGACTCCTCAGACCTCACCTAACAGAACCAACTCTAAATACCTTGCATCTCCTCCAGAATTCACAGACTCACGGGTCCCTATCCCTGTCCTGACTCCTGCTCAGAACTCACCCGGACCGGCTCTGGCTCCTCTTCAGGCCTCACCAGCCAAGACCGGCCCTGCAGTGTGCGCTGGCTCTGGCTGAGACCTGAGAGACCCCATGGTTTCCCACCATACCCCTGCCTGATTCCAACACCCAGGGCTGTCCCAAGACTGGCCCTGACAGACCGAGAGTCACCACTTCTAGATACCCCTACCAGACAGGACTCTTTCAATCTCACCCGAAAACTGGCACTGCATCCTTAGGCCTGAGCGGATGCCTTTAGCTCACCCAAGACCCCACCTCTAGGAACTTCACCTGCTCCTATTCCTGGCTTCTTCAGACATCACCTTCTTGATTCAGCAGGATACACTCTAGAGACTCAGGCAGGTCTCTCCTCCTGCCCTTGCAGTCTATCTAGCCTGGCCCAGGAAGCCTCTACTTGGGTCTCACCAGCCACCCTGTCCCCATGTTCCTGTGCCTAACTATCATTCCTAGGCCTTACCTGGGAGGCCAGACCCAGCCTCTCCTTAAGCCACACCCTAACTCATCTCTGCATGCTGGGTGGTGACAGGCAAGGACACCCCCGTTCTGCTTGGCTCCTTGGCTGGCAGCTGCACCCACACATCCCTGCCCACCACCTGCTCAGGCTCCAGATCCCAAGGAGGAGGTGGAAGATGCCTGCCCTCCATTATCAGGCATGCAACATTTATTAGAAGCTGCACAGTCTCTCTTGACTGGGGTTCCACATCTGAGCCACAGGATGCAGAAAATGACTTGAGTGACTCTTGTCAATTCTTCCAAGGATGGTATATAACTAGTCCCATTCTAGAAAGAAGTTAACTCATTATACACAGTGGATGGCTTAAGGCATTAGGGCTTCATTCTCTCCCAGACCCCCAGTAGTAAAAGGCCTGTAGAACCTTCAAAGGAATGAGGTTATGTCTGTGGATGCCATCACCAAGCAAAGGGCCCCTGGTCCAAATGCCTGGAAATAGCCCCGGGGGGAAAAAATTACCAAATGGGCAATACCCTGTCTGCTGCACCTGCCACAGCGTTAGAGTACTGCACCTAAGCCCAGCCATGCCCACGGCATTCACAGCACCCGCACCACACCCTGCAGTGCACCGCTGCACCCCAGGCTTCAAAGTCAGAGCCCTCCTCACACCACTGCTGAGCTCAGGCAAGTGAACAAGGAAAGCTACAGCTGACTGCTTGGCTCTAGCAGAGGGGTCTGCAGCTCTGTCATTTGAGGCAGGGTTTGCTCTGCAAGCTGCCCTACCCTGGTACCTCCTTTCCACCACCCCCAGCTCCTCCTGCAGCTCCTGTTGCTCCTTTCCAGGGCTACCCAGTCACACCTCATACTTCACCCTGCCCCTTGGCCTTTACAGATGGTGGCTGCCATTCAGACAAAGGTCATCACTGAGAATAACTCACAACCTCAGTTCTGTGGGATGGGGTAAGGGGGACTCAGGTTACCCCACAGAGGGTGTTGCAGGCAGGCACCCAAGGGAGTGTCACCTGGCCCTGCAAGCTTAGTCTGCCCTCAGGTGGAAGTAGAGCCCTCATCCTGCCTCAGTTGCTCTTGCCCTCCAAGCCTCTCTCTTCCTTTCTCCAAGCTGGGTAAGCAGCAGGTACTCGATAAACACCGACCTGACCTCATGGGCCACTCAACAGCCATGACTTGGAAAAGACACTTAATTCACCCAGTGCAGAAGTGCCTGTACTTACATCCCAGAACTCGAACATGTTTTGAGGGTCAATTCCAAACTCCTTCACTTTGGCCTAAATAAAAAACAAAAGGACAGAAATGAAAGGAAGCATTTGCTAGCGGGATGGGAACAGGAGCTCTGGGAGGCAGGGAGCTGTGCTCTGTGAGCTGAACTTCACTTTCCCTAGAGCCAGGGATGGGGCAGGGCTGGAGCAGCCTCTGAGTCGAGGGCGGGGCCCAGAATATACCCACCCCAAGCTGGACACCAGGTCAGTCCATGACCAGCACACCTGTGACATTGCACCTGCAAAGCTCCCTGCTGAGAGTGGCTATAACCCTGCATAAGGACCTGGCCCACACAAATATCCTGCAATAGCTCTCACCCAGGCCTGTATGGGACACCAGAGCATGAACCCTCAGGACATGTGAGAACTGAACCTAGGACTGGGATCCGAGCATGAGCAGGGGCCACCTACCAGGTCAGGCAATCACACACAGGCTGGAGAGCCACCCAGCCCTTCCCACATCTGGGAGGGTGACTGCACCAGGAAGCTTTGAGGACCCATCAAGTATTCTGGTCCCCAGAGGAGACAAGGCCAGCAATCCCTTATCTACTCCCCACAGGAGAAGAAGCCCTACTGACCAGTCAGTGGGAGGCAGGCAACAGCGCTATGGTTAGCCAGCCTTACGGTATCCTGCTGCAGATGGGAAAGCACTGGAGGCAGAGGTGGGAGTGACCGTGGAGGGAGTGGCAGGGAGTAGACGTGGATGTGGTCCCCAGCTCCAAAACAACACAGTGCCCACTGGCTGACTGCTGCTGTCATTCCTGAAGCATCCCTCACTTTGCCCTGCCCTGCTGAGCCTACAAAACCTCATGGCCAGGCAGAACTGGGAGGCAGGTGACCCAGGTTCTAATCCTGGCATCACCTATTAATACAATCACTAAGTGGGCTGGGTACAGTGGCTCACACCTGTAATCCCAACACTTTGGGAGGTCAAGGTGGGCAGATCACTTGAGGTCAGGAATTTAAGACCATCCTGGCCACCATGACAAAACCCTATCTCTACCAAAAGTACAAAAATTAGCTGGACATAGTGGTGGGTGCCTGCAATCCCAGCTATTCAGGAGACTGAGGCATGAAAATTGCTTGAACCCAGGAAGCAGAGGTTGCAGTGAGCCAAGATCACACCACTGCACTCCAGCCTGAGTGACAAATCGAGACCTTGTCCCAAAAAACAGGGCACAGTGGGTCACACCTGTAATCCCAGGACTTTGGGAGGCCAAGTCGGGCAGATCACTTGAGGTCAGGAGTTTGAGACCAGCCTAGTCAATGTGGTGAAACCCTGTCCCTACTAAAAATACAAAAATTAGCCAGGCATGGTGGTGCACACCAGGCTGAAGCAGGAGGATCACTTGAACCCGGGAGGCAGAGGTTGCAGTGACCCAAGATCACACCATTGCACTCCAGCCTGAGTGACAGAGCAAGACTCTGTCTCAAAACACACACGTACAACACAAACACATACACATACACACACACAAAATCACTAAGTAGGGGGCAAAATGTCAACTCCCTTCATTGAGGCTTTACGTCCTTATGTGAAAAATGGAATGCATCCTCTATCCCTACCCAGCCTGTCCCATTTGGGGAGATGCTGGGCACAGAAGCCTAGGAAGGTCATGTGTATGGAGGGTTCTGAGTATCAGTCAGGCTTGAGATGGAAGAAGGGGTTATCGTGATCCAGCTGACTGCAAGCCTCTCTCTTCAAGGCTGCAGAGGTTGAATGGGTGAATGTGGAAAAGGCAAGGATGGCTTGCAAACCACAGGCAACCAACTCTTCCACACCATCAGCCAAAGATCCCCAAGACCCATGAATTGAGTCTCTGAGAGGCCATGACCTGGACCTGTTGGGCCCTCCCAAGAAGGCAGTACAGGGTATCATGGGGGCACTTACTGTGTTGGTAGACAGGGCAACAAAGTGCTTCGCCACTGCAGAAGGCTACAAGAGACAGAGCCAAGTTACCAAACCCAACCCAGGGGGACAAAGGGTAGTCACTCCCCATCCCTAGAGGAACCAAGGCCCTGTGTGGGACTGAGATTCCCGGTCCTTGGTTCTGAGACTGTTGGAGGAGGCCCACATCAAGGTCAAGAAAGCAGACGGGTCACAGGCCACCTGCTCATCCCATTTTACAAACATATGGGGGCCAGGGACGTTCTTCCCCTATAAAATAGGTGTGGCCAAGAGTTCCTGCAGCGCCAAGGAACCTTAGAGAAAGAAAGGGCCATGAGAGGGCTCTTAGCCAGCCTGAGCAGATTCTGTCACATTTGCAAGGCTGGGTCTAGCAAAGCCAAGATGAACAATCATCTCAACTAGCAAAGGCAGGCACTGGCAAGGCCACCTTCCACTTCCAACTTCAGGAGAAACAGGGCCAGGCTTGGTCCCGCAGGGGGCCCACCCTGTTCTTCCCAGCCCACAGATCAACCACAAAGGAGGCTTTAGAGACCACTCACATCCTTGGCCACCTGGAGAAACCACTCCTTCGCTGTCTCTGCATTCGTGATGGTCTCTTGGGTGGTAAAGGTCTGCAACCAAAGAGAACAGCAGTGGGCGCCTGAGCTCAGGGGTGGGCGCAGCCTTGAGCCAGGGCTCAGCAGCAGAGGCTGAGGCGATGCCCAGTTGTCACATGGAGCAGTAACTGCAGGTCAGCGACAGTGAGACCACATAATCTTCTGAGATTCCAGCTCTTTACAATCAGACGAGGGGGACTCATAAACACACACCCCCCACCCTAAGGCTGCAGGTAAAACGCCACAGCTTCTCCCTAAAGGGGATGCAGTCAGCATGAGGCTCTCTTCAGCCCGGGCTGGAAGGGATCTCAGAATTCAGATGGAATTATTCATATTTTTTATGCATTCATGTGAGTAAAGAGAGCATAAATGACACAAACAAAACCCCTCTAGTATCAGGGCATGGCTCTGGGATCAGAAAGGAGCAAGCATGGCCGGGCATGGTAGCTCAAGCCTGTAATCCCAGTACTCTGCGAGGCCAAAGCAGGCAGATCACCTGTGGTCAGGAGTTCAAGACCAGAATGGCCAACGTGGTAAAACCCCATCAAAACTAAAACAAAAACAAAAATTAGCTAGGCCTGGTGGCAGGTACCTGTAGTCCCAGCTACTTGGGAGGCTAAGGCAGGAGAATCACTTGAAACCTGGGAGATGGAGATTGGAGTGATCCAACATGGTGTCACTACACTACACTCCAGCCTGGACAACAGAGCCAGACTCTGTTCCAAAAAATAAAAATAAGGAAGACTTTGGGAGGCCGAGGTGGGTGGATCATGAGGTCAGCAGATCGAGACCATCCTAGTCAACATGGTGAAACCCAGTCTCTACTAAAAATACAAAAAATTAGCTGGGCATGGTGGCTCGTGCCTGTAACCCAGCTACTCAGGAGGCTGAGGCAGGAGAATTGGCTGAACCCAGGAGGCGGAGGTTGCGGTGAGCCGAGATCACGCCATTGCACTCCAGCCTGGGTAACAAGAGCGAAACTCCGTCGAAAGAAGGAAAGAAAGGGAGGGAGGGAGGGAGGGAGGGAGGGAGGGAAGGAAGGAAGGAAGGAAGGAAGGAAGGAAGGAAGGAAGGAAGGAAGGAAAGAAAGAAGCAGGCATAAAGGACAGGTTTATGAGACAGTGGTGAGCAGTCCCAGGCTGAGGGGAGATCCTGCAAGGCGAGGGGTGTGGTCAGGACACAAAGGTTCAAACTGATGTGTTCAGGCTTTCATCAGTCAACCTTGTTTGCTGCCAGGCACGGAAACAATCTAGGGCAGCCATACTGACCCAATCCATAAACCATGGTTCACTCGGAACCAGCCAAGAGGGACCAACGGCCAGTGGGCTGGTAAGACAGCCATCCCTCTCTGTCCCAACACACACAGGGCCAGGGGCTGGGCAGTTTTTAGCACTCATACCTTGGAGGCGATGATGAATAGGGAGGACTCGGGGTTCAGCTGGGCCAGGGTTTTGGCAATGTGAGTTCCATCAATGTTGGAGACATACCAGACGCGGGGACCTCCTGAAGAGTATGGCTTAAGGGCTTCAGTCACCATGAGGGGCCCCTGGTGGGGAGACATAGCATCAGAGAATAAGAATTCAGAGCCTATGAAAAGTGGGGACAGCCAGGTCCTATCCCTGGAGAAAGTAAGAACCAAGAGTGCCCAGACTCCCACCCTACCATAAGGCAGTTTTCTCCTTACCAGGTCAGAGCCACCAATGCCAATGTTGATGACGTCCGTGATGGTCTTCCCCGTGTATCCCTTCCAGTCACCACTCCGGACACGCTGGCACGAGGGGGCAGGGGGGAGGAAGATGCCATCAGCCCAAACCCCCAAGCGTAAGCCACTGCTCAAAAATATCATTACTGCCGTGTCCTGGTGCCTCAGACCCAGCTTTCAGGCCATCGCAGGTGCCTCTATTTTTTTGTTTATAATTTATAATATTTATTATTATCTAATAATATATTATCTAGATAATATATTATTAGATAATAATATAGAATCCAGCGTCTCCATTTCCTGGATTCTAACAATTCTTGTATCTCAGTCTTCTGAGTAGCTGGGACTACAGACCTGAGCCACCACCATGCCTGGTTAATTTTTTTGTATTTTTAGTGGAGATGAGGTTTCCCCATGTTGGCCAGGCTGGTCTCGAATTACTGGCCTCAAGTGATCTGGCCGCCTCAACCTCCCAAAGTGCTGGGATTACAGGCATGAGCCCTAGTGCCTCACTATTTATTTATTTTTAAAACTGTGCCTTAGGGGCCAGGAAGAGTGGCTCAAGGCTGAGACAGGAGGATTGCTTGAGGCCAGGAAGTTGAAGTTGCAGCAAGCTAAGATCACAACACTGCACTCTAGCCTAGGTGACAGAGCAAGACCCTAACTCCAAAACCAAACAAAACCCCCTGCATTAGCCCTTTTTTTTTTTTTTGAAATAGAGTCTCACTCTGTCTCTCAGGCTGGAATGTAATGGCACAATCTCGGCTCACTGCAACCTCCATCTCCTAGGTTCAAGAGATTCTCCTGCCTCAGCTTCCCAAGTAGCTGGGATTATAGGTGCTCACCACTATGCCCAGCTAATTGTTTGTATTTTTAGTAGAGACGGGGTTTCACCATGTTGGCCAGGCTGGTCACAAACTCCTGACCTCAGGTGATCCACCACCTAGGCCTCCCAAAGTGCTTGGATTGGCTGGGCATGGTGGCTCCTGCCTGTAATCCAAGCACTTTGGAGGCCAAGGCAAGTGAATCACCTGAGGTTGGGAGTTCAAGACCACCCTGACCAATATGGTGAAACCCCATCTTTAAAAAAAAAAGTGCTTGGATTACAGACGTGAGCTGCCATGCCCAGCCTATTTTATTTTCCCATAGAGACGGGGTCTTGCTATGTTGCCCAGCCTGGTCTCTAACTCCCAGTCTCAAGTAATCCTCCCATCTTGACCTTCCCCAGTGTTGAGATTACAGGCGTGAGCTACCATGCAAGGCCTAGGAGTTTCTGGAGACCACGGTGGTCCTTGCCACACTTACCACCAACTAGACTGTTTCCTGGTTACAACAGTGAGGAAACATCCCTACCTCACAGTGACACTGTCAGAATTTGCAAAACGAGGGATAACTCGGCAGAAACTACTATGCCAGAGAGACTAAGAGATGTGAAATGCTGAAACTGTGACTGGGCTCTGCCAGGGAAAGGAGTATCAGACCCACATCCAGTCTCCAATCAGATACCAGTGATCTTTGCTTCCTGGAGCTCATGCCCCTTGCATAGCTCCCACCTGTGCTGGGAGGGCTGGCCTGTGCACCCATCAGGATACTGTGAAAGGGGTGAAATGTGAATTCAGAAGTGAGTTCAGAGAGCTTGCAGTTTCTGCTTTGCTCTCTTGGATGACTCGCTTTTGGAGAAGCCCTCTATTGTGCTGTAAAGACCCTAAGAGTTCTATAGGCTGGGCGCGGTTGCTCAAGCCTGTAATCCCAGCACTTTGGGAGGCCGAGGCGGGTGGATCACGAGGTCAAGAGATTGAGACCATCCTGGTTAACATGGTGAAACCCTGTCTCTACTGAACATACAAAAAATTAGCTGGGCATGGTGGTGCGTGCCTGTAATCCCAGCTACTCAGGAGGCTGAGGCAGGAGAATTGCCTGAACCCAGGAGGCGGAGGTTGCGGTGAGCTGAGATCACACCATTGCACTCCAGCCTGGGTAACAAGAGCGAAACTCCATCTCAAAAAAAAAAAAAAAAGTTCTATAAAGCCCACACCACAGGGAACTGAGGCCTTCTTCCAACAGTCACAGCCAACTCCCTTTCTGTGTATGGGACACCTTAGAGGGGAGTCCTCCAAACCCATCAAACCTTCTGTTAACTGGGGCACTGGCCAACATCTTGACCACAGCCTCATGAGAGATCCCCAAACCAAGACCAACCACCAGGTAAGCTACTCCCAAACTTCTGACCCACAGACACTGTGGGAAGTAACAAAAGTTTACTGCTAGGCTGGGCACGGTGGCTCACGCCTGTAATCCCAGAACTTTGCAGGGGGCGAGGAGGCTAATCACAAGGTCAGGAGTTCAGTATCAGCCTGACATGGTGAAACTCTGTCTCTACCAAAAAAAACACAAAAATTAGGCTGGGTGCGGTGGCTCACGCCTATAATCCCAGCACTTTGGGAGGCCGAGGCGGGTGGATCACAAGGTCAAGAGATCGAGACCATCCTGGTAAACATGGTGAAACCCTGTCTCTACTAAAAAAAATACAAAAATTAGCTGGGCATGGTGGTACACACCTGTAGTCCCAGCTATGCTGAGGCAGGAGAATTGCTTGAACCCAGGAGGCAGAGGTTGTGGTGAGCCGAGATCATGCCATTGCACTCCAGCCTGGGTAACAAGAGCGAAACTCCATCTCAAAAAAAAAAAAAAAACACAAAAATTAGCAGGGTGTGGTGGTGTTCACCTGTAATCCCAGCTACTTGGGAGGCTGAGGCAGAATTGCTTGAAACCAGGAGGCAGAGGTTGCAGTGAGCCAAGATCACACCACTGCACTCCAGCCTGGGCAACAGAGCGAGACTCGATCTCAAAAAAAAAAAAAAATTTACAGCTGTTTGAAGCCAAGTTCTGGTGTCATTTGTTATACAATGATAGGTAACTAATACAGAGTTTAGTACCAGAACTACAGTGTGGGCATAATGAAAACCTAAATATGCAGGCCGGGTACAGCGGCTTACGCCTGTAATCCCAGCAGGATCACTGGAACCCAGGAGTTTGAAACTAGCCTAGGCAACATAGCAAGACCTTTTCTCTACAAAAAATAAATTAGCCAGGCATGGTGAGGTGACATTTGCTTGTAGTCCTAGCAACTCAGAAGGTTGAGGTGGGGGATTTCTTGAGCCTAGGAGTTCAAGGCTGCAGTGAATGGGTGATTTTACCAGTGCACTCCAGCCTGGGCGACAGAGCAAGATCCTGTCTCAAATAAAAAACAAAAGAAAAAGAAAAGAAGTTATCCCATACATACCAGTCATCCTATGCCCACCTCACCATTGTATGTTGGGTGTGTGAGGGGTAAATAACTTGTCTTTTTAAATTTGCATGTCTTCAGATTGAAAGGAACTGTACTTGAGTTGTTCTGAAGGAAATGTAGGTACCACTACACCCGTATTCAACAAGATGATGTTCTAGACTTCTGATACTGTAACAGGATATGGACTTAGGAGGAAGTGAGTGGGGTATTTGATGCAGAAGAAACGCAATCACTAGGAGCCAGAAGCAGGACGACAGCCACCCACCTTCTAAGATGGTTATCAGTGGTCCTTGCCTCCTGGCGTTAACACACTGGTGCAGTCCCTTCCCATGATGACCAGAGCTGAGCTATACAACCAACAGGGTATTACAGAAATGAAAGAGTGTAGCCAGGCACGGTGGCTCAGCCTGTAGTCTCAGCATTTTGGGAGGCTGAGGCAGGCAGGTCACTTGAGAACAGGAGTTCAAGACCAGCCTGGTCAACCTGGTGAAACCCCTTCTCTACTAAAAAAATACAAAAAATAGGCGGGCATGGTGGCAGGCACCTGTAGTCCCAGCTACTCGGTGGGTTGCGACAAGAGAATCGCTTGAGCCTAGGATATAGAGGTTGCAATGAGCCGAGATCACACCACGGTACTCAGCCTGGGCAACAAGAGCAAAACTCCATCACCAAAAAAAAAAAAAAGGAAGAAAAGAAAAGAAAGCATGTGAATCCTGACATTAGGTCACAAAACACCTCCAGGCATCTCCCTTGTGTTCTACTGGCTCACTCACTCACTGGGAGAAATAAGCTGCCTTGTCATGAGGACACTCGAACTGTCTTTGCCTACCAAAGCTACAACTGCCAGTGAGTCATCTCCAAAGCAGACCCTCCAGCCCCCATTAAGCCTTCAACTGACCACATCCTTAGCCAATGTCTTGACTACAACCTTAGCTCTGACCCACTACCACCAAGCGCAGCCACTGCAAATTCCCAACCTAAAGAGATGGTGATTATTGTTCCTAGTTGCTAAATTCTGGAATAATTTCCCACACGTCAATAGAAAATTAGTATACACAAACAAGATCCAGCAACTTTACTTTCTTTTTATTATTTACTTATTTTTGAGATGGAGTCTTGCTCTATCACCCAAGCTGGAGTGCAGCTTACTGCAATCTCTGCCTTCCAGGTTCAAGCAATTCTCCTGCCTCAGCCTCCCAAGTAACTGGGACTACTGGTGTGCACCACCATGCCCCGCTATAAATTATTATTATTATTTTTTGAGATGGAGCCTCTCTCTGTCACCCAGGCTGCAGTCCAGTGGTGCCATCTTGGCTCAATGTAAACTCCACCTCCTGGGTTCAAGTGATTCTCCTCCCTCAGTCTCCCAAGTAGCTGGAATTAATTCAAGGCCAGGCTGGTCTTGAACTCCTGTTCTCCAAGTAGCCGCCACCAAGCCCAGCTAATTTTTTTTGTAGTTTTAGTAGAGACAAGATTTCACCATGTTGGCCAGGCTGGTCTCGAACTCCTGACCTCAAGTGATCTGCCTGCCTTGGCCTCCCAAAGTGCTGGGATTACATGTGTGTAATCCGATATTTACATTTTTTTTTAAAGGCAGGGTCTTATTATGTTTCCCAGGTTGATCTTATACTCTGGCCTCAGGCAATCCTCTTGCCTCAACCTCCCAAAGTGCTGGGATTACAGATGTGAGCAACTGTGCCTGGCCCTACTTTTTCTTTAAATAAACTGCTATGGGAAAATTTCCATCGATACAGGAAAAAAATAAGTAAGTTGCTCAACCCTCCCTCACAGGTATGTGACAAAAGAGGTTAGAAAAAGCAAGTCCCAGCCGGGCGCGGTGGCTCAAACCTGTAATACCAGCACTTTGGGAGGCCGAGGCAGGTCGATCACAAGGTCAAGAGATCGAGACCATCCTGGTCAACATGGTGAAACCCCATCTCTACTAAAAATAAAAAAAATTAGCTGGGCGTGGTGGCGCGTGCCTGTAATCCCAGCTACTCAGGAGGCTGAGGCAGGAGAATTGCCTGAACCCAAGAGGCGGAGGTTGCGGTGAGCCAAGATCGCGCCATTGTACTCCAGCCTGGGTAACGAGCGAAACTCCATCTCAAACAAAAAAACAAAAAAGCAAGTCCCAGCTGGGCATGGTGGCTCATGCCTGTAAAGCCCAGTACTCGGGGAGGCCAAGGCAGGTGCATCACCGGAGGTCAGGAGTTAGAGACCAGACTGGCCAACATGGCAAAACGCCATCACTACTAAAAACACAAAAATTAGCTGAGCATGGTGATGTGTGCCTGTAATCCCAGCTATCTGGGAGGCTGAGGTAGGAGAATCGCTTGAACCTGGGAGGCTGAGGTAGGAGAATTGCTTGAACCCGGGAGGCAGAGGTTGCAGTGAGCTGAGAACTCGTTATTGCACTCCAGCCAGGGCAACAGAGCAAAAAAAAAAAAAAGCAAGTCTCCTTCCCCGACTGTCAAAAGTTTGTTATAATGAAGCATCCCGGCCAGGCGCAGTGGCTCACGCCTATAATCCCAGCACTTTGGGAGGCTGAAGTGGGTGGATCACGAGGTCAAGAGATCGAGACCATCCTGGTCAACAAGGTGAAACCCCGTCTCTAGTAAAAACACAAAAATTAGCGGGGCATGGTGGTGCGCGCCTGTAGTCCCAGCTACTCGGGAGACTGAGGCAGGAGAATTGCTTGAACCCGGGAGGTTGAGGTTGCGGTGAGCCGAGATCGTGCCATTGCACTCCAGTCTGGGTAACAACAGCAAAACTCTGTCTCAAAAAAAAAAGAAGCATCCCAGAGGGAAAATGTCTATTTTTAATACAATCACATCCAGCCTTCATTTGACGAAATCAGGCTTTACCATACCCACCAATTCTGCAACTTCCTTTTTCAAATTCCCAATCCATCCTGAACAGCCTGGCAAGCCAATCCAACTATAGCTCCCTAATTCCTAATGGTGCCCAGGATGACAGTATATGAATATACGCTGATTCTACTAAGTAAGTCCCCTGACAGATGGGTACAGACTGGTTTCAGGTTTTGCTACTACAATCCAGGTCACAGTGAACATCTTCACCTAATCTTGGAAAACTTTGGAGAGCACGGCCACGTGGAATGTTCCTCACCAGGGAATTGCTGCCGTTCAGCAACTTTCTTTGAACTATAAATACCCCATCCGCCTGAGTCAGGTACTCCAGTGGCCAGCTTTAAGGGAGAGCTTGCCTGGAAACAGCACCCCAGACGATGCAGTGCCACCCTCACCATGTGGCATGGCTGAGTACACCCAGAGTGATTACACAGCACTAGGCTTTTGATGTACATCAGCTCTGCCACTCACAGCAGATGGCTGGAAAGGCCCTGCCATACACCCAAAGTCCATCACACGGACTGACCACCCTAAGCAGCATTCTGGAAATCCAGACTCCCATCAGGACCCCACAACTTCCTTGCCCTAGGAAGACCCACCCATATGGCTGCCAAGACTTTAGGACTGATGCTAAGACCTCTCCTCGCTTCTGGCATCTTCTAGGTTCCTTTTTTATTTTTTATTTATTTATTTATTTTGAGACGGAATTACGCTCGCTACCCAGGCTGGAGCGCAATGGCACGATCTCGGCTCACCGCAACCTCCGCCTCCTGGGTTCAGGCAATTCTCCTGCCTCAGTCTCCTGAGTAGCTGGGATTACAGGCACGTGCCACCATGCCCAGCTAATTTTTTGTATATTTAGTAGAGACGGGGTTTCACCATGTTGATTAGGATGGTCTCGATATCTTGACCTCATGATCCACCCGCCTCGGCCTCCCAAAGTGCTGGGATTACAGGCTTGAGCCACCACGCCCGGCCCCTTTTTTATTTTTTAAGACAGTGTCTCACTCTATCACCCGGCATGAAGGACAGTGGCACATTCTAGGCTCGTTGCAGCCTCAACCTCCTGTGCTCAAGTAATTCTACTTCAGCCTTCCAGGTAGCTGAGATTACAGACTTACACTGCCATGCCTGGCTAATTTATTTATTTTTTGCAGAGACGGGTTTTTTGTTTTTTGTTTTTTTTTGAGACAGGGTGTCACTCTATCGCCCAGGCTAGAGTGCAGTAGCACGATCTTGACTCACTGCAACCTCCGCCTCCTCGGTTTAAGCAATTCTCCTGCCTCAGCCTCCCCAGTAGCTGATATTACAGGTGCTTGCCACTATGCCTGGCTAATTTTTTAATATTTTTAGTAGAGACAGAATTTCACCATGTTCATCAGGCTGGTCCCGAACTCCTGACCTCAAATGATCCGCCTGCCTTGGCCTCCCAGAGTGCTGGGATTGCGGGCATAAGCCACCGGGCCCAGCACCTTTTCAGGTCAGAAAGTAGCTCTTCACCAAGGTAACCAGACTTTGACCAGACACATGTGGTGGCCACTTAGGACAAGCAGCAAATGATCACAGCTGACAAGAGCTAAGATGATCACCCTCAGAGCATGCACAGTCCACACAGACACAGCGGCATCACCCTTGCTCTCTAGGCTTGAGGACGTCTGCCAACTCACCCCTGCAGAATCACCCCTAGGATAGACACTAAGGCAAAGTGCTTGACATGGGGAAACTTAGCTGATCTCTGACGCAACCCCTACCACCCTACACAAGGAAAAGGAGGCATGTTACACGCACTGTCACTGACACAGGGACACTGCTTACATAGTTCCAGGTGGAAATAAGCTGCAGAGGAGCAGGGAAAAAACCACCTGTGTGCATGTGCAACTGTGTGCATGCTTCAAAGAGGAAATGACAGATGTGTACATGCACAGGAACTTTCTGGAAGATTTCACAGAAAATCTGTTGCCCACGCTGGAGTGCAGTCGTGTCACCATGGCTCACTGCAGTCTCAACTTTCCAGGCTCAAGCTATCCTGCCAAATACAGCTGAACAGCTAGGACTAGAGGTTTGAGCTGCTGTACCTGGCTATAGGAAACTTTACAAAGGCTGCTTCTGGAGGATTAGCTGGGAACAGGGATGAGAATTTTTTTTTTTTTTTTTTTTTTACAGAGTCTCGGCTCACTGCAACCTCTGCCTCCTGGGTTCAAGTGATTCTTCTGTCTCAGCCTCCTGAGTAGCTGTGATTACAGGCACGCATCACCACACCTGATTAATTTTTATATTTTTAGTAGAAATGGAGTTTCACCATGATGGCCAGGCTGGTCTTGAACTCCTGACCTCAAGTGATCCACCCACCTCGGCCTTCCAAAGTTCTGGGATTACATGTGTGAGCCAGTATGCCCAGCCAGGGTTGAGGAAATTTTACAATGTTTTATTTGTTTCTAGACTGGGCGATAAGGATGTATGACAAAAGAGGTTAGAAAAAGCTCCTTCTGGCCGGGCACACTGGCTCACAGCTGTAATTCTAGCACTGTGGGAGGCCTCAGCAGAGACCCATCAGTGATCACACAGGCAACCCCTCCCTTAAGCTGCAGTAAGAGCCTGAGTCCTGCTTCCAAGAGGGGAAGAGTTGCCCCTCAGGGCTCCCAGATTCCCAAATACTCACGCATATGGCCAAGGGCAAGTCCGGCCCAGCAGCCACTTACCTGGCAGAAAGACTTCATCTTGTCCAGAACCTTGTTGACCTCTGGCATCACATCCTTGCCATCTACCAGGATGGGTGTGTTTGACCGGTTCCTCAGGGCCACGTGCAGCACCGCTCGACCCTGGGGATGGGGGTCAGGGTGTGAAGACTGTCCCCTAGGGCAGCCATGCTCCCAGCTAGATGATAGCTCGGCCCTCCATCCACTAGACAGGCAGGCCCTGAAGTCTCTGTTAGCACCCTGATCTTGTTCCAAGAACCCTTTGTATGCTTACAGAGGTAGGAGCTCCCCAAGGACTTATGTGCTACAGACAGGAGGAGGTGGGGCAGGGGACCCGAATATGCCTAGGACAGGCCCCAAGGGCCTGCCATAGGTGCTCAGGGCATGAAGAGCGAGAGAAAAGAGGAATAGTGAGCAAAGGCAGATAATGGTGACAACACATGTCAGAAACAAGCAATAAATGCTTTCAGAGGCCAGGTGCCAAGGCTCATACCTATAATCCCAGAACTGTGGGAAGCCAAGGTAAGTGGATCACCTTGAAGTCAGGAGTTCAAGACCAGCCTGGCCAACATGGTGAAACCCTGTCTCTACTAAAAATACAAAAATTAGCCAGGTGGCATGGTACACACCTGTAGTTCCAGACACTCAGGAGGCTAAGGCAGAAGAATGGCTTGAACCTGGCAGACAGAGGTTGCAGTGAGCCGAGATCGCACCACTGTACTCCAGCCTGGGCAACAGAGCGAAACTTCATCTCAAAATAAAAAAATAAATGAGCAAATGCTTTCAGAGGATAAGCGCTCATGAAGCCTCAAGTAACCTCATCCTCCCAGAGTGTGCCCATGGTGTTTGCTGGCACCATTTGGGCAGTGTCCTCAGCTCCTTGGATTTGCAACAAGGCATGCAACTCAAGCTTCCCTCACCAAGCAGCCGGGTAACTACCAACTGCCAGGAACTGAACCAGACTTGAAGTCTGTGACTGGTGCCAGGTGGCTGGCATGGCCACGTGAGTGAAACAGCCTGAAGAAGAGTTCTTGAGGGAAGGTCTAAAGACCCCAGGTGGGCAGGCAAAGGATCATCTCAGGATTTCAACCCAGTGAGAGGCTTGCTAAGGTGGAGGGCTTCATGCCACCCCACCCTCACCCTGCTGACCCCACTTCTGCCCCACTTTTCACAGGCGAATGCACCCCTCCAGAAAGCCTTCCTTGACTGGATCCTCTCTCTGCAATGCAAGACAGGTTGAATGTGAATCTCCACTCTGCCTCTTACAGCTATGACATCTTAGATAAGTGATGTGGTCTCTGAACCTCAGATTCCTCACATGTAAGAAGAGAAGAAGAGAATAATGACACAACGAGGACAGAATCCACTTCTCTAAGAAAGTGTGAGCAAGCCTTGAGAAACTCTCCCTCTGGGTCCGAGATGTGCTCCTCCCAGGCAGACCTTGGAACCATTCCAAGAGGCTCACCAAACCTAGACAGCCAATCTTATGAAAGACAAACCCCAAAGCCCTGCTACAGTAGGAGGAAAAAGCCCTTCAGGCCCCTCATTAAGCAAAAGCATTGCCTAAGAGAAGGGGTGAAGACATAGGGTAATGCGGCTAACAGTCTGATAAACCCCAAAGCGAAGGAAGAGGCCCAGAGCGTATGTGGAGCCCGCTCACCTCAGTGTAGTTGATCTTCTCACCATTGAACATCCGCTCCCGGGCAGTCTCCACACCCCTGGACTTGGCCTACGAAAAGAAAATGCTAAGGCCTGGTCCCACCCACACTGGCCACCCCAAGTGTCAACCTCTGAGCACAAGGCTTGGTGCAGTCCCCAATGAGACAGACAGATGGCTGCTGCCTAGTTCCCTCTCCCACTGTCTGGGAAGGGTCTGCCCAGACATCAGCCATTGGGGTCCCTGGGATGCTGCTTAAAACTTAAGCCAGGGACAGGTGCCTCACCAGCACAGAGGCGATCACCGAGGTCCAGTGAGAGGAAATACACAAGTCACTCAAGGTCCCAGGGGCTCCCAGGAGCCCAGCTCGCCCACCACTCTGTGGGTTACCAGTTATGCCTCCCCAAGCAGAACATTACCAGGTCCACCAGCATCCGCATCACCTCCTCCGTCACCAGGTTCTTGGAGTAATCCACCAGGATATGCCCATGGTTGGTGTTGAGGGTCAAGCTGCAGAAAGATGCAGATGCTACTGACCACACCCTGGTCTCCCTAGAGGGCAGCTGCGTCTTGAGCAGGAGCTGCTCCCAGAAGAAACATCTTCCCCGAGACACGACCCACAAGGTCCACGGCCACCCAACACAACAGTGGTGTCTGTCACCTGCCAGCCCACAGAGCTTATCTACAATAGCAGGACAAAGAAAGAAGCCATCCTCACACACCCTAGATGCAGGCAGACGCTGGGTGAGGAGACTGGCCTGAAGGGAGCGATCACCCCTTCCCAGGGCTTCTACTCCCTGCCTCAAGTTACTCAGGTACCCACCCAAATGACAGGGTTAGCCATCGGGACGTCTAGTCCGGAGCCACAGTCGCTCCGGCCCCTTTCCACCAGCATCAGAGATCAGAGCTCGCTCGGCCCCACCCCACCAATGATTTCCTCCAACGCTCCTTCCCACTTCCCGGTCGTGTACAGGTCTTTTCTGCCGGAATCACGCCCAACGTCTCCAACCTTCCACCCGGCTCCCTCAAACCCCCCCACCCACGCCCCGGCTGGCTGCCTTGCAGAAGGTCCTAAACCCATGTGGCCAGGAGCAGATGGAAGGGGACAGCCCTTTCCCGCTTGCTGCGTCAGCCAGGGCCTCTCCTCAAAAATGCGAAAGGAGCCCCTACTCTAATGGCTGGGGCTGCAAGGGGTGCGGGAGGGGAGGGAGATGTCCCCATGGAGGGTCCCGTTCTTCCTCGTGACGAAGCAGCCCCGGCGTCGAGACCCCCGGCAAGGCCGCAAGCCCCCAGGAACGCGCTCCAAGGAGACGCCAAGGACGAAGTGCGGCCTCGGCCTGAGTCCCCATCCATGGCCTGGAGGTGGGGGGCGGGGGTCCCCGGGCACCGCTGCCCCCGCCTACAGGACCCAGCCCCGCGTGCCGGGCTCTGGACGTGGCAGCCCCCGCCTCCGGCCGGCCCGCCGGCACCTGAAATGGTTGAAGCGCTCCTTGTCGGTATCGAAGAGGCGGCGCAGATTGAGCTCGGAGCCGTGCTCCCGGTACCATTGCTGCAGTTTCTGGAACTGGGGGTCCCGAGTGAGAGCAGCCATAGTGGGACTAGAAGGTACACTAGCGGAGACTCACGCCGAAGAGGAAAGAGCGCGGGCGACGAGCAGCTAGCGGGGCGCGGGGGCTCACAGCAGCCTTTATGGCGCAGGCGCGTGGCCCGGCCCCGCCCCCGAGCCCCGGCCCCGCCCCTCCCCGTCGCCCGGACACCTAGGCCGGGTGCCCCCTGGGCGACCTTGCTCGCGGCCGTTGATCTGGGGCCTCAGCTCGTCTCTCCCTACCCCTTGAGCAGCCGCTTTGCTGGCCTCTCCCCCATAGTGGCTGTGGGGAGGGGTGAGCAGAGCCCGGGGATCGTCGCAGCCTAGGAGTTGGAGGCTGCAGAGAGCTATCTATCATCGCGCCACTGTACTACCTGTGCACTGGTCGACTTCATTCATTCATTCACTCATTCATTCATTCATTCGACAAAACTCTATAGATCGAACAGCGTCCACGTTACAGGAAGTATTCCAGGCGCTGTGGATACATAAGTGCCAAATAAGCAAGTACAACAGATGATATGTCAGTTGCCGGTAAAGGGAATTGAGGAAAAGCAAGATGAAAAGGGTGCTGAGAATTGGGGTTGCAATTAAGAAAAAGATACTCAAAAGATAGGTGTGCCTGTAATCTCAGCTACTTGGGAGGCTGAGACAGGAGAATCACTTGATCCCGGGAGGTGAAGATTGCAGTGACTGCAGCCTGGACAACAAAGAGAGACTCTGTCTCAAAAAAAAAAAAAAAAAGATAAGGTCAGAGAGCAAAAGGAAGGCAACATGATCACATGTGAGTCGGTTGGGCACGGTGGCTCACGCCTGTAATCCCAGCACTTTGGGAGGCCAAGGTGGGTGGATCACGAGGTCAAGAGATCGAGACCATCCTGGTCAACATGGTGAAACCCCGTCTCTACTAAAAATACAAAAAATCAGCTGGGCACGGTGGCGCGTGTCTGTAATCCCAGCTACTCAGGAGGCTGAGGTAGGAGAATTGGCTGAACCCAGGAAGCGGAGGTTGTGGTGAGCCGAGATCGTGCCATTGCACTCCAGCCTGGGTAACAAGAGTGAAACTCAGTCTCAAAAAAAAAAAAAAAAGACCTTGTGAGTCATTATAAGAATTTAGGGACTAGGTGCTCTTCCCTATAATCCCAGCACTTTGTGAGGCTGAGATAGCTTGATGCCAGGAATTCAAGACCAGCCTGGGCAACATAGCAAAACGCTGCTTCTAAAATACTATAAATAAATTACCAGGGTGTGTGGTGGTACACACCTGCAGAGTTCCAGCTACTCAGAAGGTCAAGGCAGAAAGATCACTTGAGCCCAGGAGTTTGAGGCTGTGGTGATGACCACCACTGTACTCCAGCTTGGGTGACACAGCAAGAATTTGTCTAAAAAAGAAAGAAAGAAAGAAGATAGGGAGAGGCTGACAACAAAAGAAATAAGTGGTCACAGGACTTTCCAGGGAACAGCCCTGTCCACACGACCCTTCTCTAAGAACTGTCAAGTCTAAGATTTCACTGCGTGTCCACAACTACCACAACCCTGGTAGTGCCGAACAATATCTGTTCTATTGGAGTTCTGAGAAACACTCCAATCAGGGTCTTCCAAGCCAGTTATTCATCTGCACAGAAGAGAATTCCCACCCCAAATCCGGTGTTTCAGAACAGAACCTCAACCGGTAGGAAGGTGAGTCTCAGCAGCCACTGCCCCATTATCACTTACCCTGTGATTCCCCAGATGACTCTAGCCCAATAGCTGACTGCCTTTTTTCATAGGTTATGTTTGTGACCATATGGATGACTGTTGTTGTCTAAAACCATCCTCTCCTACCCTTGTGTTTCTTCCTGTGCCTGAATCCATCAGAGAGGCATAAATAACTTAGACCAGCTAAACAGGGTCCTTTCCCAGGGCCCTGCAGCCAGTAGCAGAGTCTCTGCTTTGTATGGTGTTAAGCTGCCTGCCAGAAAGGACAGACCTGAGCTTTAGTCCCTGGTCTTGAGGAAAATAACGAAGAGAATGATCCCTAGAGAGATGCCAGAGTGAACCTGACAGTGCCCAGGTTCCGGGGTCCAGGCCACCTCTGCCTGCAGCTAGAATGTAAACAACAATTCCCTTTAGTGTCTGTTTGGAGTTGTCATTCACAACTCCAAGTCTTTCCAAAGATGTTATGGGTGTTCACCTGTCCACTAAAACAGTCTTGTCCAGTGTCCTCTCCCAGCCACCCAGAACCCATAAAAGCAGCTTTGGGTACTGGAGAAGAGGCAGGAGGTGAGGCCTCTGATGACTGCCATTTCCAAGGTTTCCACTGCCTTTTAACCTTCCATAATGTACACCTCTCACAATTTGGCCTCTGTGATTCCCAGAAGCTTCAGCTATTCCAGATTTTTCCCATACTTTTAAGTTTCACATTTACTTTGAAACTCTAAAGTTACATGGATTTTCTTTTCTTTTTTTTCTTTCTTTTTTTTAGATAGTTTCGCTCTTGTTGCCCAGGCTAGAGTGCAATAGTGGGATCTAGGCTCACTGCAACCTCCACCTCCCAGGTTCAAACAATTCTCCTGCCTCAACCTCCTGAGTAGCTGGGATTACAGGTGTCCACCACCTCACCCAGCTAATTTTTTTTTTTTTTTTTAACAGAGTCTCACTCTGTTGCCAGGCTGGACTGCAATGGCGCCATCTCAGCTCACTGCAACCTCCAACTGCCTGATTCAAGCAATTCTCCTGCCTCAGCCTCCGGAATAGCTGAGATTACAGGCTGGTGCCACTATGCCCAGCTAATTTTTGTATTTTTAGTAGAGACGGGATTTCACCATTAGCCAGGATGGTCTTATCTTCTGACCTCATGATCCACCCACCTTGGCCTCCCAAAGTGCTGGGATTTCAGGGGTGGGCCACTGCCTGGCCTGGATTTTCTACATTAGCAGGAAACTTAGGTTCCTTTCTGGTGGGCTGTAAGTCACAGTGGTTATGGGGAGAAAACACAGAAAGTATGAAGAAAGGTCATTACTAATCCAAAACCATTCATTATCATACTATAATACAACTAACATGGCCACTACTCCAGCCAGGTTTACTATGTGCAGAGCTCCATGCTAAATCCTCTCCATGTATCCCTCATGGCAGTCCTACAAGGGATACCCATTTAACAGAGAAATGTGAAACAGGGCCGGGAACAGTGGCTCATGCTTGTAATCCCAACACTTTGGGAGATGGATCACTTGAGACCAGGAGTTTGAGACCGGCCTGGCCACCATGGCGAAACCCTGTCTCTAGTAAAATTACAAAGATTAGCTGGGCATGGTGACAGACACCTGTAATCCCAGCTACTCGAGAAGCTGAGGCAGGAGAATTGCTTGAACCCGGGAGGCAGAGGCTGCAGTGAGTCAAGATTGCACCACTGCACTCTAGCCTGGGTGACAGAGGGAGACCCTGTCTCAAAAAAACAAAAAAGAAAGAAATGTGAAACAAGCCCACTCTGCTCTTAACTAGAGAATCAACCCAGGCTGCCTGATTTCTTCCTGAGCCCTGGGCTTAACCGCAGCCCTCTTCAGTCCCAGGTGGAGGGAAAAGTAGAGGAGCAGGCAATGCTTTTCTCTGCTCCTCATCATCCCAGTTCTGTCTTATTAGTTGAAACAGAGTCTTGCTCTGTCACCCAGGCTGGAGTGCCAGGGCATGACCACAGCCCACTGCAGCCTTGAACTCTACGCTCAAGCGATTTTCCCACCTCAGCCTCCTGAGTAGCTAGAACTACAGGCATAGCCACCCCACCCAGCTAATTTCTTATTGTTATTTGTAGAGACTGGTTTGCACTATGTTGCCCAGTCTAGTCTCAAATTCCTGGCCTCAAGAGATCTTCCTGCCTTGGCCTACCAAAGTGCTGGGATTACAGGTGTGTGTCACTGTGCCTAGCCATAAGGTCATTTTATGTTCTCTTGTCTACCACCATCACTACAATCACTACCATATGCTGAGCTAAGTCCTGCAAACCGTAGAGCTTAGGGGGCAGTGAAGCTGGGAGGGGTCATTCCCCCAGACCAGAAACTGACCCAAAAGAATCCAAAGAAACCTAGCCCGGAAATTCCAAGAGAGCATGCTGCAGAGGTACCTTCAAATGCCCCCAGCAAGATGATCTGGCCTTGAGAAAAGAGCAAACCAGAGGGTACATCTGATAGCAGAGGCAAGTTAAGAAGTACTGGGACAGTCCTAACTCTGGATAGCAAAGATTCAGTTCCAAGCATAAGGCAGCCCTAGAAAGGCAGTTGACTGCCACTGAGTATTAATGAAGGTAGCACTTACTGCAGACTGTGGAGAGCACATTCCAAACAACAGCCCCGTTCTAAAGCTGGGAAAACTGAGATATGTCAGGGCTTACTTCAGGGCCGCTGGACAGGGGTCAGGCAGGTCCTGGAGGACAGGTGGTCATGGGGATGAAGGGAGAGGGACTGGAGTAGGGGATTGGTCCGGTGGTCAGTTCTGGGGCCTGAGCTGAAGGAGTCAGGAACGGGGCGTGGCGTTTACACGCCGATGGATTTTCGAGAGCTGTTGCGGGGTGGGGGTGGGGGTGGGGGCGAGCCCACCGAGGATGCTGAGTCATGGTGACAGGCAAAGGCGAGGGAGCTGCGTCTCGGGGGTTCCGTGAAGCTGCTGAAGTTGGCTCATCCTCTCCGGGGAGGCCACGGAGCAGGTGTAGGCGGGGTTGAGTGCAGGCGCGGACGAGGGAGGAGTGCGGAAGCGTGTGCGTGTGGGCCTGCACGTCCGGGTGGGCGGGGCGCGCGCTTGTACGCAGGTCCCTGCGTATGGTCGGGCGCTGGGGATACGGAGAGGGAAAGGGCTCGCAGACACCCGGGTCCGCACGTCTGGGATGGACATGGTGCGTGAATGTGCGCACGCG